CCGACAGGAGCGGAGCTAACGGCTAACGCGCGGATGTTTAATACTCCGTTACATTGGTTCATTGTAACTGAATGAATAGTTCATTCAGAAAAAGCTTAATTCTATGACATCATTGTGTGATTGTGTGCAAATGAAATGCTGTTCTTGGGAGGGAAACTTGGAACAAATAGAATTGTTTGAAGATGTTTCCCGATGCAGCATAGACTACAAATTATTTAGAGATAATTATTAACTTTACAATGCTAGCTAAATGCGACTGAAAATACACCACTGACTGTTGACTGTTTTAATCTTTATGTTGTGTTTCTGTGGAAATAATCACTATGTATAACTAAAGAAAAGTAAAAAGATAACATTTCGAATTTTTACCGCAGACTTTGGGGTGAAAATATTAGTCCTTTTATTGGATCCTTTTATACAAGCTCCTATAATAAAACAAAATGACAACAAAAAAACATTTGGGCAGATAATTGATTATTTGCAATCGGTATTGAAGTTCGGTGGGGCGTCGCCGTCGCTTCATCGCGGCGCCGAAACAATTCCCTGAACTTTCTCGCCGGCGCCCGCTGTCAGTTTTTCTTTCCCACTTTGACATCGATCCTCCAAAGATGCTCCGCGGAGGCTCGGGTACCAAACCCGGCTGTAATCTGTGGGGACCCTCGGACGAGGACGGAGTAGAGCGGTCGGACGCCCGGGTGACAGTCGATGGGCCTCTGCGACGGGATTCACCCGTCACTCGTCTGAACTCCGCGGGCGCCGAGGTTAAAGCGGCGGTCCCCTGGGAACGCACTGAGTGGCGTTGATGGCAATGAGGGTCCCAACCTCCCCTGACAGACACTTCTCATCCAGGATGCCGCCCCCCCCCCTCCCCCCCCCCCCCCCACGATGCAGACTCCATGCGAGCTGCATTATGCTGACACCGAGCGGTTGACACACTAATCCAAGAACTAAAGGACTTCAGGGACCATTGATTTTCTATTCTTGGCATGAAAAAAAACGAGGCGAGAAGCCAGCCATCACTCCTCTTCGACCAGGGATGCTAATGGACTTTTTAAAATGTTGCCACGGCGATCCCCTCGAGCCATTCTGTTTTTGCCCCTGCGGAGCCTTTGAAAGAGAGCGAAATCCCCAGCTCCTTTATCGGACATGTTTGTATTCAGCAGCGTTGCTTAGATGTCTGGCCTGTTTATGCGCAGCATCTGTCAGCGACGGGCCGTGCCGGGAATCTAAACTCTGACATTGGATTGGAGAATAAAAGTAGGCCGACAAATAATGGGATGAAGCAATTAGCGCTGTTTGTTCCTGTGGACCTTCCATTGGGAGTAGAACATTTCCGTCACACTGTCAAACCTCCACCCACGCAATATATGGGTGTTTTTAGCAGTTTTTAAATCTGTATTCTACAATGAAAATTAAATTGTTTATTTTCAGAAACGTTGGACCCGTATCATTTCCGTTTGAGGAACTATTGGTCTTTTAAAGAATTGTAGATAATCGGGGGCAGGTTGGAACTACACCAGAGTGAATTGCATTGTAATTACACCCGTTTGAATACGATCCCGTACGTTCTCCTCTGTGTCCTGGGGGGGGGTCGGCCGCCTCGTCGAGTTCAGCTCGATGCTCCTCGATCAAACATAGACGCCGCCCCTCGGCCCCCTGGACCGCCGTCGCCCACTTGGATTTCTGCTTCTGTCGTCTTGGGTTTTTTTTATTTTTATTTACACAGCAGGCCATTTGGACTGCGGCGGCTTGAGGAACATGACGTCAATCATCGTTTAGCCCCGCCCCACGGCATACTACCCACCTAAAGCATTCTAGAGATGGAGAGCATAGATGTTTAGTGAAGAGATAAACCAAGAGAGACGTGGAGTCATTTTCACTTAGACTTCTATACAATCAACAGACAGATATTGGTTCCCGGGGTTCTTTTTGTTCACCTCATCTCGGGAGTCTTTGCGGTCGACTGCAGCGGCAGATGCAATCGCAAAGAGAGAAGCGTCTCCGTGCTGACGGTGATGTGTGATTCGTGTCATGGGACTGCAGCGAGATAGGCGGTCTGAACGAACCCGCCCAAAAGAGCCGAGCGAGGAATCGAGTCAAGTCTCGACAATGAACTGATTGTCCCGGTGAGCATCATTCAGATCATGCGTTGTTTTTCCTCCACTGTCACATTAAAATTCCCATGTGGATGTTTTGACAGCAACAACAACAGCAGCAGCATCAGGCAGGATTTTATGTGCACTGGTCTGGCACGGCAATGGGAACCAGACGATTTGAGACCCCGTTGAAAAGTATTCAGAATTCTCATTGTTTTATTTATCAATCTCCACAGCTGCTTTCAAGGTCTGTGTTGAGATATTCCCTCAGCGCTGCAAGGAAGAGTAATTGTTGTTGCAGCGGGTCAGTGGGGCTTTATGGGAGTTATCAAGACCCTCCAGTGCCGCCGCTGTTTTCCACGTCGCACGGATAATACGGCGCCACCTTCCCAATGTATTAAACAATCGTCTTTTTGCTTTCTTGAGGCTCCCAGTGAGTGCTGCCTGTGCTTTATTAGAGTTACGGTATATTGCTCCCAGTGTAGGAGGCAGTTTGTTTGCGTCCTGCCGAGAGCACAGGCTAACGTGGCTAACTGTGTCTGAAATTATCGAGGAGCCCGGGGATGCGCTCGCTCATTACTCCGGCCCTTCGCGTGCCACAAACATGTCAGATCGGAGGATAATGGGGCTTGGAGACTTTGCACAGCCGAGGGGCTGAGCGGTTTGGAGGTGGTGAGAGTTCTTCTCTCTGCTTTGGCCGTCGACCACGGCGGCTTAAGCTCCGGCCAGGTTTTGGAACATCAGAGCGCCATTTGCATGATGCTCCGCTGTGTAGTTGTGACCAGCAGAGTCGACAGGTGCAGGACTGTGCAATGCGGTTTATTCAGAGTTAATGGGACTTTTTATCCAACAGTTATTTCCGGCCATCTCGCTGGAACCGAAGAGTAAGCGTTATGTGTGAAATTCAAATGACTTCCTGGTCCTTCGATCATCATTGTGATTCTATTTCAGCATTAACCCCCAACGGAGGTGCCGTGGGACTCCGAACTTCTCCGCGGACACATCTTATGAATCCGCGGACGCGCCGCTGTCGGCTAATCCAAGTGAATGTCAGGCGATCAATGGCGCGCCGGCGTCTCAGAAACCCCCTTTTTTCCGCCCGAGAAGCCCAGCTGCCAATGTCTCCCAGATGGCTTAACAAGTCCAGTTCATTAAAAACAAAATGATCCGAGCCCTCCCCGTCCGAACCCTAGAACACAGAGAGCAAACATCAGATGAGATAAGCGGTGGCTTATTTCCCTCCGACAGCTGTCGACCCCCCGCCACCCCCCCCCCCCACCTTCACACTGCACAGAAAGTCATTAACTGATTAGACTTTGTGTTCGGATAAATTAAGAAAGTTCAGAATTCCAGAGGGGAGATGCATTGTTGACACACACACACACACACACACACACTCATCTGGAGGTAAACACGTGAGGCGCAGGTGTGTTTTTCAGCCTGCGTCCCGTTGGCGTGTGGGAAAGGTCAAAAAACGGGGATGAGGAGGCATCCTTCCTCTCGCTTGTGTTCTCAGGGACAATGTCCGAGCTGGAACAGAACCGAAATCACAGCCCTAACCTTATAATACAGTTACTGTTTTTTTATTTGAATGTCATGATTTAGCAGAGTAAAGTTGTTTCCCAGCTGCCCACTGAGGTATAACGAACTGGCGCCATAAAATGCTTATTTTTCCCCCCACAAATAAACAAGTTGTTGCTTTTTTTTTTATACCTTCTATGTTATAATAAACGATACACCTCTCACGCAACACCAATCCAGCCGGTACGTCGGCCGGAGGCCGTCCACACAGGCTGCGTGCGTGAAGCGGGCGGTGGCGGATCCCCGGGCCGCTCCCCTCGATTGTGATCATCGCCCGACCCCGTTGCTGCAGCGCAGCTCTCTCCCCTGCATTTAAACGAAGCAGATGATTATCAATATTGATGACGGTTCACGTCTCCGTGGACTTAATTTCCTGCTCCCACTTAAAAACCGTGCGGCCCGGTTGTCATTGCCAAGCGACACAGTCCATAAATTAGGGACGGCTCGAAAGGACCCCTGTGGAGGACACGGCGCCCTAAATAAGTTCCTTTTTCAGGACGGTTTTTAGGACGCTTTTAGTTTATTTTATTAGTAGCGGGCGTGATCTTTTCCTCGGATACCAAGTTGCTCCTGTGATTCTTTTTCTGTTGATTCAGAATGAATGATTCACCGGCCAACTCTCCTCTGGAAGCAACGCGCGCCGCGTGCGGTCGCATTTTGTCGCGTCGTCCGATGGTTCGCACGTAATCATTTAGCATCATTAAATTGATTTTGAAACTCACCAGTAACCAGCTTCAAGGATCGGCGCGATGTGGTTGCTTCTTCTAGGGCGGATTGAAAGCCTGGCAGCAGCAATTTGTTTTAATTTTTTTTTTTCTCTCTCGCTGATGCTGTAACAAACTGTGGCATCTGGAGGAGATAAATGCTCGGATGATGATTTTGAAGTCTGTGAAAGAAGGAAGCGATCTTGTGAAGTTAGACTTAAATAAAAATACATTTTCATCCTTTACGGGCTTGTGGAGGCAGATGTGGAATTTGTGATTGAATGTCTTCTGTGGTAGTTTCCATTTGATTCTTTTTAAACCGTTTGTTTTCTGCTCTCACGCTTTTTTCAAACCTAATTCATTTGACCAGACCATCAGTGTCAATCTCAACAATACAAGACACATCATGTAAATAAGCGCTGGCGCCCTCGAGCGTTCTTGCCGTAATCGTTCCATTGCGTCGTCTTTTCTCTCTCCTTCCCTTGAGGTGCTTAAGAGTTCTGCGTTACGCTCCAAAATCAGCGGCGAGGAACCACTGCGGTGAAACACTCACATTCCCGACTGTCCTGACCCTGATGACCTTTTCTTCCCCCTTCCAGGTAGGAGTCGGGAGGGTGGAGGGGGGGGGGGAGGGCGGTGAGTCTGCCGAGGGCCATGTGTTCCTGGTGAGGCCTCATCTCCTGCCAAAATGAGGCCGACGCCCGGCTCGCCCGGACCCGTCCTGCCGGCCGTCCTGGCTCTCGCCGTGGCCGCCTTCTTGCCCCGGCTGTCCTCGGGAGCCACGCCGTTCCCCCAGGACCTGGAGCCCATCGGCATCGTGGGCCGAGAGTGTGAGTTCAGACATCCGCCGTGTTGCCATGGCGATTCCTTGTTGCAGAGAGTAGAGGCGAGAGAGTGGAGCATCTTTAATCATCCTGTGTAATCACAAGGCGCCGCGTTAGCTGAGGTTTTGTTTTCTGTGGGTGTTTGCAGAGGCTTTGTTTGACTGCTGGATTATTTAGGTAGATTTTGTAAGCACTCAGATTTTCTGTTCACTGCTAGATAGATTTCATGATATAAAATATAATTGTTTAGTTTTTTTCATTACACCCAAAACTAATAAAGACAAAAGATGCTGCAGATTTTCTTTAGACCAAAGAAAACAAAGTTCTCGAGACTCGAGGCTAATGTGTTGATAACCATACTAACATTGCAGGGTGCGCTGTCACTCTTAACTCTTGGTTCGGTTTGGGCAAATCTGCAATGTGTCCACTGCGTTGCTTCTGGCTGTCAATCACTGAGCGCAGAAGGAAATTCAATTTTCCTCAAAGGAGTGATTTATCTGTCGGCCCACATGGCTTTATGTTTGCCCCTGATGTTTTCTGTGTGAGGAGCAAAAACCAGAGCCCCCCCCCCCCCCAAAAAAGACCTCAACTGGATTGTATTTTCTTCAAATCACAACTAGTGGGTAAAACAATAGATGTGATAAAGATATATATTGATAAAAACCGCATTCATTTAAATATAACCTAAATTACATTAAAAGCATGTTCACTAAATGATCTGAATGAAAAATACTGCTGTTACTTTGGACAAAATCAGTAAGTCCCTGACAACGATGAAGCTCATCTGACAGTCCACGCAGGTGAACACAGTCCTCAGAGAGCCAAGAGCTTGATTAGAGGACAATCTTGGACATCCGTGACACCCTCAAGACGCCGCTTCACCCGGGTGGACCCGTCTGCTGCGACCGATCACCGGGGGCGGGGGGGGAGGGCACAAGAGGTCCCGGGTGCTGAATGTAATGGCCCATAATTGATTTAAGAGGCGGCCGAGGCCGCGGCCCGCACGCCGTAATTGATCTATCTGGAAGAGAGCAACGCCGCCATTAGCAGGAATAGCCGCGCTAATAGCGCCGCATGTGGAGCGCCGTCCCAGGTGTAATGAGAGCAATTTATCACCTCTGGTTCCAGCGGGTGACAGCGGGGGGGTGGTGGAGGGTCCGCGAGGTCGCGCGCGCAACTCCGCCAGACGTCCATTATGACTCGTCGTACTTCATAAGCCAAAGTCTATAAAATCACAGCCGAGTCGCCGCTCCTATTTATGGAGACCGGACGGACGGACGGACGGCCGAGCTCAGCGGGACAAAGGAGCAAATCTGTTCTATGAATATTATAATAATAATATATACTTGTACTTTCATATTAAATATCCATTTTAACCCTAACCCTGGGAGCAACGACCTGCGCTTGACCTCCGACCTCGACCTTGAGTCCTTTTCTTTCCCCCCCTTCCACATTCGATCACCCGGCGGGCACAACGCGGCTTCACGGCAGGGTGTAGAATTCTGCTGCCGCCCCCAGAGGCCTTCCAGCACGTGAAAGTGTTTGAAGAGTAATTAGAGAATCCTCATTTGCCCCGGGGCGGGTTGAGGGGGTGGGGGGGAGGGGTGTCAAGGAGCCCCTGGGAGTCTCTCCAGCAGACAGAAGGTCCAGCGCTCAGACATTAAGCGCTTAAATCTTTAACCAGTCGATTGGAGGCCGGCGCTTAGAGGAACACGGCGCTCCCCGTGGAGACGCACGCTCCTTTCCGGCTGCGCTGCACTTCTAGCGGGGGATTGCGAATTCAGCAGCAGCCCGGGGGTCAGATGGGAGGCCCGAGGACACTTTAGCAGATCCACGGCGCCGTGGCCTTAAGCTGAATCTGAATTTTAGAGAAAAGGAAACTGAAGGGAAACCTCTGTGATGAGGTGTTGGTATGAAGCAGTACTGGTCAGTGTCTCCCACACTTTAAATGGATACTTCCCTCTAGAGAGAGAAGTTTGCAGATTGCAGATTGCATTCTGTTTGCCATTTGTGCACCTTTTTTTATTGCGTTCATGCCAACGCGGAGTTGAACTTGAGTGACCTCCGAGACCGACGAATGCTAAAGAGATACGGACTGACCCCATCGTTATTTGTCTCCTTTTCCCACGCTGACTCCTCATCAGCAGCCGTTTATTTAAATCCCACTGACTTCTGTGACACAAACCAGCTGATTTACAACTTTGCATCCTGCTTATTCCCCCGCTCAACCGCCCACATTAGCATACAGTGCATGCTCGGGATTTTTGCCGCGGTTCACCAAATTGCATCTTTGGTTAATGTTTCTTAAACTGTGCAGGTTCAATGTCTTTTCTGAGCTGCGGATTAGTTACGGATGAATGTTTAACCTCCTCGTCCTTCTGCCTCTTTTACGATAACAAGAGCCCGAGAATGAATCTGAATGTTTAATAAAGCGGCCCCGTGTGCAGTTAACAGTTAGCGTTAGCGCCTTTATGTTAACATTGACTACCGGTATTGAGGGAAAACAACTCTAGTTATGTGGTGACGTGTTTTTTTTTTTGTGTTTTTCACTCCCATCTCTCGGCCCGCGCAGCCTCCTACCTCTACCCCAGCTTCCAGGGACTCATGTCGGACAACGAGACCGTGCGCCTGGGCCTGGACTTCCAGAGGATGCTGAGGATCAACCGGATGCTCTACATCGCTGCCCGGTCAGTCGCCTCGATAAGACGATGGAAGTAGTTTGTTTGTTTAACCTAGTTAGCTCAAAAAAAAAGCTCAATCGTGAATTCTGGACTTTCTGAAGAAAGAAAATCAGCTTTTCCCCGCAGCGCCGAACCTTTTCGCTCCTAATTCACTTTTGGCCGAACCCCAGAAGTTTTTCCCCCGATTCATCTCGCAGCCTAATTGCTGGCGGCTCCCCTCTCGATCGAGATGCCGTGGGTTAATCATCTAAAACACACAAGGTTGTCGCGCCTCCTCTGCCTATTTTTATTGTGTAGAGATAAATACCGCTGGAGTTGTTGGCTCGTTCTCAAGCGGCAGAGGTCTCTCTGCCAAGCACTGCGCCTGAGAAGGTGGCGAGATCGCTAATGTTCCTGAGTGGACTTGATACTTTCCACAGATGCAAACAACAAAGTGCAGCGATGCAAACGCCGCGCGTTGGGAAACGTTGGCCGTTAATCCAGCTTTGGGTCCCTGCAGGCGTTGGTGGACGGGTCACTTCTTGACTTCTTCTTCTTCTCTCTCTTTCAGGGACCACGTGTTTGCCATCAATCTTGCCGCTTCGTCGGAGCAGATAATCCCACAGCAGGTATGGAAGTCTGTACACGGGACCAGCGTGTGACCCTGAACAACACTCTGTGTGTCGTATCGGCTTTCTGAGCTGTTTCCTCGGTGCACAAACGTACGTTAGCTCATGCTACACTGTGAGTCACGCGTTACTACACGATGTGCGTGTGTGTGTTTGTTTAATTGCAATAAAAGGAAAGCCGGGACAAACTACACCGTGAAGCCGGTTCCTAGAAAGTTTGAATTCGGGCTTCATTTATGTCGAAAAGCACACGACTTCCGTAACTTTGAGTTGTCCAGGTGGTGATCGGATCCATCGGTGCTCGGCTACGCTAACAACGTAGCTGTTGAGAAGGACTATCTATCCAGTTTTTACCACGGACTGTTTATCGTTTCATTGTTTTAAGTTTCATCGGATCTCTGTAGGAGAACGCAAATATCTCGCTGGAGTTTAAAATGTTTTTTCTGGTGGGAATTTGTGTCCATTTGCATCGCTGTGAGGACTTTCTATGTAATCGCTCCACATAGCGCATAATAATCAGTTACTTTCCACAGCTCCATTTTCTAAATGTGGAAATAGGTTTTAGGATTTGGCTGCTGACATTTGTTCATATTGCTGATATTTTGTGCGTCCATGTTGTTTTTACAGGCTACAAAGTCTCTAATGTTTGCGTCTCATTGTTTTCCTTTGTGCGGTTGCCTGCCGCTTCATTCGAGCACTAAGCAATCTCTCTTCAGACGTCCAGTCGAAGTGGAGCGGGGCTCTTGTGGCTTTTGAAGCGCCCGCTCCTTCCGATCTGAATCTCATTTGTCAAACGCGGTTGCACTTAAAATAAAAGCCCTTCCGAGGCCCAGACGTTTGTTTTGTTGTATTTAGATTAGCACTGAACACACATATTCCTTCTGGCTTCATGTCAGGCGGCTCTAAACTATTGATCTGGGTCAACTTTAGAGCGGTGCCATGTAGGTTTTTAGTTGTTTTTTTTCCAGTTATATCAGATGTGAACTTGGATAATGTGTTTTGTGTGAAGCATTTACTCAAACCTCTGATAGCAGAGACGTGAGTGGAAAGCGATTGAGCAACGTGCCGGCATTCTATGGAAGTAAATCTGTGTCATCGGATTTTGAAAGAAAAAGGTGATTGAATTTCTAGCACTGAATATTTATGCATTGAAATCATGTATCTGAATGTTTTTCAACGTTAAAATATTCAACCGCAAATAATTCAATGCAAAAAATTTCAATGCAAAAATTCAATGCAAAAAAATTCAATGCAAAAATTCAATGCAATGATCGTGCATGTAAACAGCATAACCTGCACGTACTGTCGGGGTTATGCGTCTGCACACGCTCCGCTAAAGCCGCTGCCCCCCCCACTACGCTGCAGCGGCTCCTATGCGCTCTACAAGCGCGTTCCTGGTTTCAAAACTCCGCCAATCACTCCTAATAGCTCGTCGAAGCATCCCAGCATCAGCTGTCTATTACTGAATCGTACAGACACAAACCACACTGATGGCATGAAGTTAAAGTTAAAACACTCAACGAAGCCGCATTATTAACGGACATGGCTGAAATCCCGTCATCATAGTCGACAAGCCGAAGTTGTATTGGGGCGCTCGCTCCTTTTGCTTGACGCACGCTCCCGATCTTGAATCTAGAATCGATTGCTCTTCCTTGGGTTCCCGGATGTTGCGGTTCGAATTTTTTTGCATTGAATTTTTGCATTGAATTTTTTTGCATTGAATTTTTTGCGGTTGAATTATTTGCGGTTGAATTTTTTGCAGTTGAATATTTTATCGTTGAAAAACATTCAGATACATGACTTCAATGCATAAATATTCAGTTCTAGAAATTCAATCACCTTTTTCTTTCAAAATCCGATGACACAGATTTACTTCCATAGCATTCTGCTTCTTACAGTCTTATTCCTGAAACTCGTATTACAGGAAAATAGTTCTTCGCAGATCTTTGAACCGGCTCTTCATTTACGCAGCGGCCTCTCTCCTTTCGCGCCCCCATCGCCCCGCGCTCGCGTGGCCCGTGGGTAATTATCAGTAAACCAAATGGAGCGCGGAGCCGGCTGGGCCTCTTACCGTCCGGCTGACTCGCACTGATTGGTGTCGATTTGGTGTCGGAGATGATCCGTGTGCGCGGACCTGGAGGACAGAGACGTTGAGGAGACGAGTACTCCGCCGAATAGGATTATTATTTCTTATTATAAATTATTCCCCATATCGCTATATTAGCCCAAAGGCGACTCCCATCAGAGGAAAAAGCTGGACGCGCTGTCGCCAAAATCCCCAGCTTGTTATTGTCAAAAGGTCTTTTGAGAAGAACAAAAGCAACCAAACGTTTGAATAATGTTTGCTAAACTCAGCAGAACGCGGGCGTTTCAGGGAGCCGGCGCCGCGTCTCTTCCAACCCTGCGCGCTCGCAAACGGGCCGGTTGCCATTTTGCGACGCCGCGTCTGCAGCTCGGCGAATAATAACCGTCCAAACAAATTTCACGGCCGACAGCGAGCTGCCTTGGATACCGAGCGTGAATCGGGTTAGACGCGGGCGTCCAGAGACTCCACTTTACTTCATTACTGAGACTTTGTAAGGGATGAAACTGTTTAAGACTGTGCAGAATCTGCAGGAGGAACAAACAGGCTTTGGGAGCGACAGAAACAATAGGGGAGCCGTTCACGTTGGGAGAGCGGCTAACAGATTAGTGGTTTCGCCTTTCCAAGGGTATTGTTAATGTAAACAATACGCCTCGTCTCGTAATGCTTTCAACATATTGTATGAAGAGGAAATCAAATCACTTCGGTTAAAATGTGGGAAGCGGGAATCCGTCCGCAGTTAACGTGCTTTCCTTTAGCACCCGACAGTTGGATTGCACTCAGAGTAGTTTCTGGTCTGACGGACTGAGAGCGATCGGACGAAATGGAAAAGCTGCTCTGAGAAGGAGAGCGAGCGGCCTGTGGGACAAATTGTTTTTTAGGGCCGTGTGGTCCTGTAGAAGTGACCCCTCCAATAAGGCACCGAAATGGGTTTTACCGCATACACCTTGAGGCGAATCTATGCAGCCCTCCCTAAAAACACAGTGTGTACTTTTCAGTGTCTAATGCAAAGGACTGTTATCAGTATAATTTATAGTGTTTTTGTTGCATTTTCTCTTTTTTTTTTGATGGAGCTATTTCAGTTTATATAAAAATGTGAAAATATAACTTATTGATTTAATGAAAGAAAGTAATAAATAATTTACACATGTATTTACGTTTAAGGATACTTGCCTGAGGAGACCTCCTCAAGCCTTTTGGCAACGCCCGCCCTCAAAGGCAGACTGGCCAATCACAGCACAGCGTCCGACATCTCCGACCACGTTCAAACATGTGCTATTGGGACGTGTTACCGGAAGAGGTTGGGAGGAGATGTATAGCTAGCTAGCTCGTACGTTAGCATATCATTCACTGGTATTAGCACCTCTATGCTACGCTAGCTACTGGAGGAATATTGATAATTTAACCCTGTTATCTGTAGCTTTAGGGGCGGAGCTTATCGAAGGCCTTCATTGGTATTAAAAACATGAAACAGCCGATGAGTTCCCTCTAACTCCGGTGGGCAAATGAAAGATTCCAGTCCAGCCGCCATTTCTAACGCTTGGAGAATCCGTCCCACAATGCCTCAGTTTTGCCGCTCACTCAGACGTCGAGCTTCCTGTCTGCTCCAATGCCGAGCGCAGCAGCGGGACGTGAACCCGAAGACCGATGTTACACAACGGCCGTCCCCTCCTCGGTGGTATTCATGGGCGCTGAGAAAATTGTGATCTGTGAATCATCCCAACAATTGAAACCAGTCCGCGCGTTGAGGGAGCGCGTTAAACGAGTTGATGGATCTGTTTCCGTGGCGGCCCACGGGGGCGACCGGCGCTAAAAAACGGGAAGTGTGGCGGAGCTTCTGTGCGTCGGGTTAATTGGGGGCTAATTGACTGCTCCTCGTACAGGCTGCGAAGCGACGCGGACGCCCTTTGATTCGGGGGGGTTTGTGCTCTGTTCCCACAGCTCCACATTTATCCTGCAGACGGACGAATATGAAAGAAATGTAAAATGAAATCACGACGGAGAAACAGCCATGTTTCTCTCTTCCGCCGACGAGCCGCGCAGGCATCCCTGATATTCATCTCCTCTTGTTTGTTGTTGTTTCTTTTCCACGACAGTTTATTGAAGTTAATGAGATTTTCATCACAGCTGTCTCCTAAAAGCACTCCCAGCGATCCGGCGGCAAGCGGGACGCTGAGTAACAGCTTGCGTTTGAGCTTGACAGTCGGCTGTCTTGTTTCGTTTTTTCAGAAGCTGACTTGGAAGACGAAGGACGTGGAGAAGTGCACCGTGAGGGGGAAGAACAGCGTGAGTATTCGTCTCCCAGACGCACGCGCTTCCTCGGCTCCATGTTTATGTCCTCGGCCGCCGGTGGTCGCAGGAGGCCGCCGCGGGGTGGCGAGGCGATCGGCGCGGAACCACGTTCCGGGCGCGCGCAGTGACGCCGGCCTGTTTCTCTGTTTTTCCGACCCGACAGGACGAGTGTTACAACTACATCAAAGTGCTGGTGCCGCGCAACGACGAGACGCTCTTCGCCTGCGGCACCAACGCCTTCAACCCCACCTGCCGCAACTACAAGGTGAGCGCGCGGCGGCCGGTCACAGCGGGGCGTCGGGAGGTGTGCGGCCAGCTGGCTACTGACATATTAGGGGGGGGAATTGCCATGATTGTGAAAATAGAAATATATAAATATAAGAGCTATTGTTTGTTTTTTTACGTTACCTGAGTGGACGACGCTTTTGATAAATGGACATGATGTGCAACCTTAAATAATTTGAGATACTAATGAGTAAAGAGAGTTAAATGAAAACTGAAGTATTCCCTAGATTTTTTACATCAATGCAATTATTTACCTCATTCAGATGTTTTTTTTTAAGATGTAAACAGGCCAATATCGATGGATAGGTGCTAATTTTCATGTATTTCCAGACAGAAAACAATGGATAAAGCCTCTATTGACATCATTTTCTATTTATTTTGGATCTCTTTGTATCACTCCGTTAATCAGAAAATACTGTCATTATCTCTAGGACTAAAAAAGATAGTAAGAGAGACTAAAGTAGATATTTCTGAATCAGAGACTGAAGAAACCTTTTAATGAGATTTTTATTAAAAATGACATTTTGAAGAGACTACCGATTAATGTAATATATATGCAGTATCTTTTAGTTAATAGAAGGATCAAATAGACAAAGTACTGTATGTCTACTTTCCACGAGTCTGACAGAAGACGTGTTGTGGAAAATTTCCAGTGCAAGAAAAACAATATTTCTGCCCAAAGGTGAAAACCACCAAGCTGATGTAAAGCCGCGGTGCACAACGTTGTTACGCGGCACAATGTTCATCTACAAACACTCGGCACTCACATAACAGACCGAGTGCATCGCGAAAGGCTTTCAGAGCAACACGTAAACGCCGCTTGGAAAAGGACATTTAATATGCAATAACAAGCACAGCAGCAGCAGCGCTACAAAGGCCGCTCACACGAGGCCCATTTAAGTCTCAATATGTGTTTTCAACGATGACGCAACGCACGGCCGACAGGTCAAACTGCCTCCTGTGGACGTGACGCGAGAATGGGGACTGCGACTGAATAGCCGAAGTGGAGGGAGGAGGTGAACTGAGGGAGGGTGGGGGGGGGGGTTGGGTAGCAGGTCAAGACGCTCACCGGAGGCAGCGCACTGCGGCGATAAACAAGTGAAAACATTGCGCGTTGGAAACGTAGAAGTCAAAGTGAATGTTTGAAGGTCTGCGGAGTGGAGCCCTGAGCGGTGACATCACGGCCTCTGGGCCGTGATTCACAGCGGGGCCGTTAGACGAGGAGGAGGAGGAGGAGGAAGAGGAGGGAGTACGAGTCCCACAGCACCCCCTGAAATCTTACCACTGTGGGGGGGGGGGGGGGGTAAATAAATCAGCACTTTACATGTCGGTGGGTCGCTGAGGAGTCGTTTAAAGGTTGAATCTGAGAACAAATGCGAGTCTTAAGTTGTGTCTTTGGAACAGAAATACAAAGTTTTCCACAACAGCACCAGTTCCACCAACAACAGTACAATTATGTTTACAATTGAATACAAATGGAAGCAATTAACTGTACAAAGAACAGAATGCGAAACACCAATGAAAAGAAATGCTACGGCATTTAAAAACAAATTAAAACGACAGTGAATAAATAACAGCCTAATTCCCCCGAGCAGAGCGACCTGAGACGGCCTCCGCCTGCCACTCAAAGAGGCCACGCCCTCTTACGCCTTGATGTAATTTAAGCTGACCAACAAAGCACCAGGCGCCCCGATCTAAGACGATAGATTCATGAAATACGTCCCGAATGGGTCTTTTTCTTTATTGTACCGAGATTCACGCCGCCTGGTTTTGGCTGCTAAGCCGTGATTGGACCATTGCTGTTTTGGGGGGGGCGGAGTCAAGCGAATGGCCACTTGGAACTAACTAAAAGCAGCCTCTCGAAGGCATCGCCGGTACCTGGACAGTCTCTCCGTCGCAGGAGGCCTGCGCAGTGTCATCGCTCCGTCCGAAGGTCAACGGCCGGGAGGAAAGATTGATGCTTTAAAAGGACGCCACAACGACCCACATCGCCCCATCATCCTCCTCCTCCTCCCCCTCCTCATCACCATCATCACTCTGCCACGGAGCGGCTGATTTACACAAAACGCCTCCACGGATTCTTTCCTTCCTACAATCCCCCATCTGTGTCTAACAACCTTCCTTCCCCTCTCACCCCCCCCGCCCCTCCCCTCCCTCCCCCGGCTTTCTCCCCCTCGCCTGGAAAAGAGAAAGTGCACGAGACGACTGCAGACAGCTGGGGAGAAGGAAGTGTAAATCATATGTAGGGATGTGCCTCTGGGACTAGAGGGGGTCGGGCCTTGGGTGTGTTTGGACAAAGACGCGGATGGACGCTCAGACGAGACGGCCGGTCCGTAGACGACATGGCGTCCGCCCCCCCCCTGATCAAATCCGTCCGTCTCGCTCGGCCCGTCGGGGGGGTGGTGGGGCTGAAAATCCCGAATGACAAAGTGCCGTCTCACCTCGTGGCGGTCCGGTCCATCATGTGCGTTTTCCAATCGGATTCAAAAGCGGATCTTAATCTCGTCTTGACTCTGATCGGCGAGGGAATGGTCGCCTGTTTCTCTCCTACAATCGCAGTCCAGCCCATGATTTCAGCTGAGAAGCTTTACTGCTTTACTTCTCTTTATTTACGACTCTCCCGCGTTCAGAGTCACAAAGCTGGAGTTTATTTTGGAGAAAAACCAGTGCTCAAACTAATGAAATGAACAAAAATTGTAATTTTTCAGGAAAACAGGTGCAAGTTCTAAAGCCTGACTGCCAAAGGACCAAATACCTCCTTATAGGTGATTAGGTTTTGTCTCACTAATCATGTCCACTCGTGACTCACGTCTCCGCCACATGTTTGTCTTCTGCTTCTCCTCGGCTTTCTGCTTCCTGTTGTTGGAGCCAAACTGTAAAATCGCGTTTGAAAAAACACCGTCAGTCTTTTTGCCACCGAGACTCCCGTCTGAGCGATAACCAGGCGCTCGGCGGCAGGGGGGGAAGGGGGGGTGGGGGGCGATGTGCGCTGTTGTGTTGGATTGCGTCAGGCTCAGAGGTGCAAACACGCCGGCGTGCGTCGGCGCAGACGTCTCGGGGCGTTTATGCCGAGTTCGCGGAGCAAAGTTCTGTGGCGAAGTTCTGCATCAGCCGCTCTCCTTTCTTCTCTGGGTAATCGTGTTGTTTCATGGGAACAGAGCAGCCATTAAAACAGACGAGGCCGGTGATGAAAGCCAATGAAACGTTCAGAGCCGACACGACAAAACAAGCTCTCGTGATAATCAGAATAACTGTACGTTCAGAGGAGCTTTCGAAAAAAAGGGCTTTGGGGCGAAAAGGCTTTGAAACAAGGGAAGGATCAACAGTGAGGCCCGAAAAACCGATTGCTGAGGGTTAAACCTGATGAGGCAGCAGAGTAGATAAAACGATAGAAGCACTTGATATGGAAATAAAGATGCAATAAAGACAATAATAAAGTTCCATCAAATCTCGTGGAAGCCGGTCTGTAATAACGGTTTCTAAGAAGTGATTTGCAGCTTTACGTTTGTCATCCGAGTTAAATTTGGATCAAAACTCGTTTTTACACCATAAAGGGTGTAAATGTGAGGACTCGCCAATTAGACCCAGCTGGATTTCCTATTTGTGTCAAAATGAGCTTTCGGGGGCTAATTTGCACACCACAAAGACAGCCGTCACCAAGCGGGTGGCGAGGACGGGGACAGTCGAGGCCGTCTCGACTCGTCTCCACGTTCGCAAACCTGTGTCCGGCTCTTTAACGTGTCCCGTCTGTCCTCTCCGACGCCAGATGTCCACGCTGGAGCAGGAGGGGGAGGAGGTGGTGGGACAGGCCCGCTGTCCCTTCGAGTCCCGCCAGTCCAACGTGGGCCTGTTTGCAGGTGAGCGATGCGATCCGGCGGCCGTGAAAACGCCCGCGTGTTCATCGCTCCTTTTTTTTTTAAAGCTTCCCGTTTATATTCAAAGTGGTTTCACGTCCCGTTTGATATTCTCACCTGGAGGGACTTATTTAAGCATTTGTCCGCTCACAAAACAAGGATTTTGGCCGTCCGCTAATTAGGACAATTTTACAAAATATTTTGGGCAGATGGATGATTTTATCTGCGTCCCGTCAGAGCGATAATATCTATTAAACTGTTTATTGAAGTGTTCTCAGTGTAACAGTCACTACAGCAGACTGTGAAAACAACTCGAGTGAGATGAATGTGCTGGATCTTTGCTTTTTAATCATTTTGTAAAGACCATTAACCGTTTTGGTTCCAGCTCGCAAGCAAACATCAGAGATTCTGCTCAACGTTCTTCTTGAGTTAATTATAAGCTCATTTCTTTTCAGTCAAACATTGCTGTGTGTTAATGCAGTTAAAATAGATTCTCTGCCGTCACTGATTACATAACAGAACGTATTGACTTTATTACCCAGTGGATGGAATCGCGTAAACGCATCCCAATGCAACAGCTACGTGAACCACGTCACTCCTCTTTCTGGGTGGATGTAATTAAGAACCAAAGCTCACATCATCACAGGCTGTGATTTAGATTTCGTGCCCTCGATGGCTCCTGATTAGCGGTTAGATTCTCTGCACTAATCAATGCGGAGAAGGATTCTTTGAACACGCGAGGGGTCGAGTTCGGGCGGGGAGGCGGAGGCGGGGGCCAGGCCTGCACTCGCTGCTGCCGGGTCCCCACGGAGGTTTATGCAGAGTTCACATGAGGGAGGGCGGGTTGGGGGGGGGGGGGTCATTAAAAAGTCTGCCATTCTCCTGCAGCACTTCTGAAAAGGCCAATAAAAGTCACCTCTGACCAAAAATAGACACTTGAAAGAAGTGGGTTATTCCAGGGGAATATGATCCCTGACAATTTATCTCAACCCCCCCTGTACCCCGACTCCCCCACCCCCCCGCCGCCCCCCGGGCGGGAATTTCGACTGCACCTGGCACACTGTCATACCCCGCTGCAGTGCCAATAGGTTTTCTAAACGGACAATATTGCTCGGAAACAGTACCACTTTCATCCACAGGAGGCACAAGAATCAAAACTAAATAATGGAAATGCCGTCAGGGGGCTGTGGGTGTCACCTTTACCCTTCTTACTGTGCACTATTAATACTGGACTATAAAACTGTCTCTGGCCTTCCTGAGAATAGAGCACCCAGAAATTGCTCAAAATGTACAAGTCGCCGTCCTCTGGTAACTTGTAGGCAGAACTCCTGCCCCAGCCTGTCGGTCTGCGTGAGGAATGGATGGGGTACGGAGTGTGTAATTAGTCCGTCTAATTGTGTTGTGTAGTTCCTTAAGAGCTTAACTCTTTTTAGAAAAGGGGAGACACGGTGGAGTCACCTCTCGTGCGTGTACCATAGTCTGCATGTGTTGACTTGTTAGGCCTAGGGTACACTAAATCGCAACCTAAGTGGTGGTTGCCGAAGCCTGGAAGTGCAAGAATCAGCATCATACTTACCAAGAAACTGGTGCTACCTGAACTGATCACTACGCGAAGAGCGCTCAAGATATACAAAAGGTTTGGTCGCTAAGCCGGAAAGAAAGAGGGAATTGGTCTTTCTTTGGTC